CATTTCTCCTGATTTATCTTAACTTCCCAATTTTTCATATATTTCCCTATTACCAAGGACGATTTCATATCCATATTTATTTAATTTAAATATATTGTCAGCTAAAAAATACAAATTTTGAGTTCCTTATCTTCCACTTGTTTCTACCAGATACCACGTTATTACAACTTCTAATTGAATAAATGATAAAATGACTACTTATTAATATACGCTAACTAAACCGCATCCCTTGCCTGTACACAATCACTAAGGGTCTTAACTTCTTGTCTCTAATTGTATCTTAAACATTTGCAGCAAATGTTCCATCTTATGAACTAATTTTGTTGCCATAACGCCTTCCTTAATGGTAATATTCCGAGGGTGATATTAATAAAAATAATAAAATTTTTTTCGAGAAGATTTTCCTTTGAAGCAGATCGATGACGATGTCCCTAATTCGCAATAATGATACAGATATTAGTTTAAACCTAGAATGTTTAGCAAAAATTTTTGATGGTGGATTAGTGACTGCGAAATAGGAGTACACGGAATTCAATTCTGATGCTTTATTTTGTATTTATTTTAAATATATTTAAAGATTTAAAAATTTTATCTTATTTTCTAAATATTGTTGTTTAAAAGTTCTCTTGCATTCTTCATTTTTCCAAAGATCAAAGATTCCATTTGATTTTAGTCATTAAATAAATTAATAAAAAGGGTATAACCCGATGATATACAAAGTGTATTAAATTGCGTATTCTGGATTGGATAAAAAATAGTTCAATCAAACCTAACTTACCTTAGTACAAATGTGCACATAAAAAGTTTATGTTTTAGTTTTAAGTGCATTACATACGATAGAATAGGTATATATAAGTAATTCCATAGGTATTCGAAAAAGGTTGCGTTTCGATTTAATTGCTATCGACACATTTAACTTCAATTCCATAGGTATTTTAATTAAGAGGACAATTATATTTGCTATTCGCTCCGTGCGTGACTGATGCGACACCTACCGCCTTCATCTGACAATTTTGGAGTCCCAATTTTTAGGTTAAATATATGACATATGTTTGACATTGTTAAATACATGCGAAATTGACAATTATTAATAAATTAGTTTTTTAACTATATTTTTCAGTTTATGTACAAAATAAATGTAGTATTAAAAACTGAGTTTCTCAAAATTGATCGTAATATATCTTTTTAACTCCAAACGGTAACCCCCTCTGTGGCTCAGTGGTAAGAGCGCCTGCCTTTAAACCTAAAGGTCGTGAGTTCGAATCCCACCTGGGTGGAAATTTTCGTTTATTAAAAAAAAATTAATAAATGAAAATAATTTCTATCCTTGTGTGATCGGTACACACCGGAGGGACCGCAGACGTTCGGATACAATTAGCGTCTCTTAGCAAAGATAATGACGTCGACTTTGCTAAGTATCAAGACAATTACTCTACACACACACACACTACACCTCAAATTGTAAGATTGGCGAATGGATTTAGTGTCCGCAGTCATTTAAACACAAAACAAACAACAAACAACAACTCCAAACGGAAAAGAAAGCGAAAAATCTAGTACTGGCAAATCAAGCTTTTCACGCAAAAGAGCATAATAATTAAAAACAATAATAGTAAGTTATGATATAAAAGCTAAAGTCATCTGCAGTTAGCTTGAAACCTTATGAAATATCATTCAAGGTAAATTATTTAAATTGTTCCTATTTCAATTGCATAAAAATGAAATTATGTGATATTTACTTTTTCATATTAATAGCTCGAATTCATCTTTTTCTTTTCTCTACTTTATATGTAATCTTTGGGAACCTATAAAAACTACACTCATTGTTTTTGCTTATTATTAGCAGAATTAAATACGCAACATGTATTTGCACACATTTTTGATAAAACTTATGCGTAAAAATATTTTGTCCAATATTCCAATTTTGTCATATTTCGCCGCTACGCACGCTGGCATCGTTTCAATGTACCCTACCATGGTCACGCACGGAGCGAATACAACGTGAAGCAGCAAGTATGCTTTATATGGGTTCCATCACACACTGGACTTTAAGGAAACGAACAAGCATATTTTCATGCCAGGGAAGCAATACAGAGTGCCTTTTCAGTATTAGTCAACTTAGTGTCTTTTTTCGACTACAAATCGTTCCTTAAAGAAAAAGTGACAAATGAAAAGAAACGCGAATGGAATCTTTTACAATCAACTCTACATATCATAAAGCCCTCAACCGAATTTTGGTGCGAGATAAATTTAAATCGCCAGCTGTTTATTAAACTAACCCGTTTACGTATAGGTCATAGCAGAACTCACAGATACCTAATCTCCAAATCAAATCGCTCATTTTGTGACTTATGTAGCTGCGACATTAATGTTACACATATCTTAATAGAGTGTCCTAAATATATTAGTGAAAGACAAAAACACTCACTGCCTAACAATATATAAAAAGTCTTAAAAGCCCATTGTAAATTTAAAAATATGTTTAATTACTTGAAAGATATGAATTTTTTTAAACAAACTGTAACTTATTTAGATTTAAGTACATACATATCTGTTGTGACGATAAGACTCAATACAACCAAAACTAAATGCATGCTCATCAGCAGATCACAACAACATCCGATGCAATTGACATTAAACAACCGAAAATAGAACAAGTGGAGACATACACATACCTTGGAACCACTGTCAACACAAAATGGGACCAGTCAACAGAAATAAAATCACGAATTGAAAAAGCGCGAAACGCGTTTGAACAATATGAAAAAGTGGTTCACAAGAAAAATCTCAATGGAACTAAAATTAAGACTGGTCAAGTGTTATGTCTTCCCGGTCTTGTTCTATGGAGCAGAGGCATGGACCACAACGGAAGCCACCCTGAAGAAACTAAATTCTTTGAGCTGTGGATATATCGCCGTATCTTCGATTCTTCGGATATCCTGGACAGACCACATCACTAACGTGGAAGTAATGCAGAGAATAGGCAAAAGCAAAGAAATAATCTTCACCGTAAAGAAGCGAAGCTTGAGTACTTCGGACATGTCATGAGGCGTACTAAGTACCGGCTGCTACAGTTAATAGTCCAAGGAAGAATCGACAGAGGAGGGGACCGGTAAGAAGACGACACTCATGATGCATAACCTGCGACAATGGTTCGGACTAACATCGACCGAACTGTTCAGAGGTGCCGTAAACAAAGTCAAAATAGCCTTGTTTAATAGCCAACGTCCGAAACGGATAGGGCAAAGGAAGAAGAAGAAGAAGAAGAACGATAAGACTACCAAATAGAGTAGAAATACTATTATAAAAATAATACCTCATTTAACCATGGGAGCTTATCGTCTATGCTTCGCCTTGCTTAGTCTCTCAAGTGTGAATCCGTTTTTGTCTTAAACTATGAATTAAACAATGAACCTTTAACTGGCATCAAATAAAACAATGATTTAACTATTCATATTTATTTAACACATAAAAAATAATATTTAAATAGCAAAAACAACCCTGCCAAATGCTTTACATTAAATAAATTTAAATGATACTTGTGGCATCGATGGGCTGCTTGTTTATGTGGCCTCCAGATTATGAGATTAGATCTTCCATAGCATGTGAGTAGGCCCTACTGACAGCTGTAGTTATTATATTATTCCATATTATTTCCATATTACTCCCTTAAATATAAATATAGAAATATTCCATATATTCCATAAAATATTCAGTAAAATGTTCAATAAATTCTCCAATAAATACAAATAAAATGTTCTAGAAATATCCCATAAACTAGAATACTAAATAGCCTGTATTAGAGAAACATCAAAGGGGGTTAACTTCCTTGCCAATTATTTTACCAAAATTAGAATTAAACAAATAGCAAATGGCAAGGATGAAATGAAATGGAATTATTAAAATTAGTTAAATTCTGTTAGATTCCTACATGCATAGAATTGAAAACATGGCTTTAAAAGAAGTGAGGTTACGAATATTGAAAATCCTGTCAGAATTATAGAATATAGTTTACAATAAAAGTGCTCACTCCTAAAAAATTCTTGACCTAGACAAAAAAGAATATTCCCACTACGAAAGGTGATTAACAGAAAATAAGTGAGCGATTATACTGAAGTATAATCGCCTATGATGGAATAAAGAAACTGAAGGTAAAGTAATTAATAAACTAATAAAGAAATTAAAATAAAATAATTATTTAAATATAACTTAATAAAGATGTGACGTTTATAACGCTACAATTAATTAACTATAAGTACATCTAATAACCCAAAGTGGTTGATGCTGTTATCATTAAAATAAAAAAAAAACCAATTTGCATCATCTGCATATTTTAAGATGTATATCCACATTTTCCTAGTCCTCCATATACAGCTTCATATCCTATCTTGGATTGCTATTGCATCGGATTGCATTGATATCTTGGATTGATGTGATTTTTGAGAGATTGATGAGACATAATGAGATTTTAAGCATAATTTTGCATTTTTTACAAAAATATGTGCATTAAAATGCCCGTTTTTTAAAATATTTTCCTCCATCTAGATAAAGATTTTCCTAGTCCTCCGTGTACAGCTTCATATTCTATGTTGGATTGATATTGCATTAAAATCACCTCCTATTATGACTCACCTATCCGATATAATATTTGTAAGCATGCATCCCACTTATCTTAAGAACAGGTTTCCTTTTTTGACCCAGACTGACCCTGGGAGTATACACACACAAAATACTTATTTACAAAGTACAAATAACACTGACATTATTCTATCTGTCTATCACTCATTTTTACTTTATTTAGGGTGGGTTGTAAATCGAGTGGTTTAACCCAGTGATCACAGGACCAAGGTTTAACCTTCCGACTGCGGTCAACTTGTATTTTGTTGTAACACACGTTGGTCGATTGACCAGTCGTCATAAGGTGGCAACATTGATATTTTGACAGAAAGCCGTTCTGACAGCACCGCCGGGGCGCGGCACCGTTCGTTATATTTACATTTTATAAGCTTTGCTGCTTTGATACAGTTGATTGTCTTATAATTTCTTTGTTTTATGTAGTATTAGTGAATTCGTTGTATTTTTAGGGGTTTTTAATTTTAAACAGTATAGTGATATTAAGATTTTTAGTAGTTATAGGTATATTTAGTACATTAGTGATATAGCAAGTTAATTGTTTTATTTAAGTTTGGAAGAGCACTATATTTTTTCAAAAAGGATGGGTAAGAAACTATTAAATATGAAAAAATTGTGTCTAAGACCTTCATTTTTTAGAATCGAATGCTAATAGAAGAACAGTAAACTTCACAGAAAGTGAAGAAAATATGCTTCTTTTATTGATAAAAAAATATGCAACTATTATAGAAAACAAAAAAACAGATAGCTCCATTAATTACAAAAAAAATGAAGCATGGGCCCAAATCGAAAGAGAGTTTAATGCATGTAGTAGAGGGGGAACCTACAGAAGTATGATAGTATTAAAAAATAAATACACAAATATTAAGAAGAGATCAGTAAAGAAATTTTCAAATGCAAAAAAAATGATATATTGTACAGGTGGGGGTCCTAATATTCAATTCACAGATAATGAAGTGGATACCACAATTAGGGAGATAATTGGAACCCGAATGACTGGTTTAACCTCAGAGTTTGACAATGATAATCAAAGTAAGTTAATTTTTCTTCTAAATATGCCTTCAACCTTCCATTAAATTTTAGTTAAATTCATATCCTGTCATTTAGATGAGTATTGAGTGTGTATAGGTAAAGTAGGGACCACCTAAGTTTACCATTACATCATCAGTTAGCATCCGAAATAAGTAAAAAACTAGTCAAGTTCATGTAAGCTGGTTTTGTAGCCATCTCGTTTACAATTTTGAAATATTGTTTTTATGTAATCTCATATTGAAATGTAATTTTGTAACTCTGTTCCAGTTGAAATAGAACATGAAGAATATTCCCCATCAACATCTACAGTGTCAGAGGGGGAAGGTATGGTACACAAAATAATATTTATTATTCAGATTACATTATATAGTTAACTTTTAGAACTACTCAATCAGGAAGACTTAACAGTAATTTATAAATCAGATGAGGAGGTGACGGAAACAAAATTAGACAAGACTGTTGTAGGTATGTTAATAAAAAAAATGTTTTTCAATATTATATTATTTTATTTTTTAGAAGAAAAAAACTGGTCAAAAATGTCTGTGGAGAATCTTAGAACTCCTAAAGCTAAAGAATTAAGAGGAGACAATAATACCAGAAAAAGTAAGTGATGTACATGTATGTTAAAAAGTCCTATCTTTAAAAATAGTGTAAATTGTTTTAAAAGTATAATATGGTGTAGTAAATATTCTATTACCACTAACATGTAAAAACTCTATGATATTAGAGGATTAAGTATCTTATAAATAAGTTCAACGACAGTAAATTGATTAAAGTTTTGATAGTAATAGCATAATTCATTACCTTAAATTGTTTTTTTTTTAGATAATACACTGAAATCAAAATTAACTGATTGGGCCAAGTCCAAACAAGATTTACTGTCTATACAGCAGAAGTGTATAATTGATGAAAGCCGCCAGAAATTACAACACAATGAAGAAAAACATAAACAAGAATTAAGACATAGGGAGGAGAGGCACAAACAGCAGTTAAAAATGGAAAAAGAGGAACATCGTATAAAAATGGATATTTTAGAATTGCAAAAAAAAACAGTTGTCATAAATTATTGTGAATAAAATTTATTTTATATTGGCTTATACTTTATGTATTCCTTCTTCGATTGCAATTCATGCATCAGTGAGTATTAGTATTAAATTATATATTTTTGAAATGTATTGTAAATTATGCATTATCAAAACTATAAAATTTATAGTAGTCATCATCATCAATCAGCCCTGATTTGTCCATTGTTGAACATAGACCTTCTCCAAATATTTCTATCTAACTCTATTCTGCACCTCTGCTAAAAACCAATAAAATAATACTAATATAACTATGATACAAGGATACATAAGAGATTTATAAAAGTCTTTGAAAATATTGGGTAATTAGATTATGCCTAACCAAATTGTTAATATTAAAACGAGGAGCATCAGGTATCACCAAATTAATATTATTTGCCTCTTCTATCGCTGCTGCAATATTTTCATTTACAGGTAGGTCTGGTTCGTTTCTCATACGTGCTATGTTATGAAGTACTATACATGCAATAACAAGAGCTTCCACCTTGTCTATATTGAGTCTTATTCCTAATGCTAAAGCTGGAAATCTTCTTTTAAGAACTCCGAAACATCTCTCTATAGGGTTACGGGTTCTAATTTGACTTTCATTAAACAACTGCTCCACTCGAAGTTGTACATTAGCCAATGGTGTTATTAAATAGGGTTTTATGGCATATCCAGTATCACCCACTAAAACGGCATGTCCAAACTCTCCATTTTCAAATTGGGCTCTCAAACGTGAATTTTCAAATATGGTAGAATCATGAACTGATCCTGGCCATCTACATACTACATTTTGAATAATTAGATCAGGTTTACAAACAGCCTGCACATTAAATGAAAAAAAGCCTTTTCTGTTCCTGTATATTTCAGCATTATTTCCTCCAGGAGACTGTATTTTAATATGCGTGCAGTCTAATGCACCAATACATCTAGGGAATCTACTAATATTGTAAAATTGTTCTTGGACCCTTATCACTTCTTGTTCAGTCTCTGGCATTTTAATGAACTCTGGTGCAAGTCTTGCTAAGCTTCTCAGAACTTTTCTAATTATACGACTGGCAGTAGACTTGTCAATACCTAAAAGAAATAAATATTTAGCCTAATCAAGTTTAACAATAATGTAATACTTCATTTCACTTTAGGGACCATGGCAAAATTACAGAGAAAGCATTAGTCATATAATATAAAAGCCATTTTGTTATGCAATTATTATTACCTGTGAAATCTCCAACTGCTTGTAATGTTGATCCCGTTGCCAAAAACCTCAAAGTCAGTAAAACTTTTTCTTCAGCAGTTACAGTATTGACTCTAAAAACCAGCAGTTTAATAAGTTATAACTTCAGAAGTTAAATAAAGCATTAACTTACTCATACTTAATACAACTAATGTCTTCCTCAATCTCTTCCAATATAAACTGAACAGTTTCTTTTGATAATCTAAATCTAGATCTAAATTCTTCAGGATTCCATTTCAAGAAGTGATTTTCTCTCTGCCTGAATGTTCTTGGAGCCCTAGGGAACAATTCCAATTCCAGTAACTCTAAAAAGTCTTCATCATCTGTTAACTGCAGTTCTTGCAGATCGCCTCGTTCTAAATTCATTATATTACAATGTACATAAAAACAAAAAACAGACCACTTAAAATTGAGGTTAAACACAATTATTAATTATGATATGTTTTTCGGCACCACCACGGAGGCATTCTCGGCTCGGAACACTGTTTTTAAGAAAATATTTTATTGTTCTTTGGCTTGACCAAAGGTTAACCCATCAAGTTTAGCGGATCAAAAATTCTAAGGTTAACCCGTCGATTAACCACGGTCAAACCGAGTTACAACGATGTTTGGACATTTGACCATTGACTAGAGGTTAACCACTCGAGTTACAACCCGCCCTTAATGTCATACCCTTGGACCATATCCGTGTAAACTTAATTTTAGTCACTCCCATAACTACTTCTAAATGAGCAAACAACGTCTTGGGATACGTCTCTGTTTAGTAATTCTTGACACATGTATGACTTATTCAAATGGATTTCATACGGAAAGTGAGACTTTATCCTTTTTATCACGAAAAGTAGTTATGAAGACATGCATTCCATAGTAACGGTCCTTAGGGGTGGATTTCGTATATAACGTCATCTAACGTCCAATGGAGTGTTAATCCTGTTTAAACTGGGTAGTCTGAGGGGATTTCGAAACTAATAAATTTACAGCTTTGCATAAGCCATCGAAACGTAAGACGGGGCTAACGCTATGGAAATTTCAGTGCCCGCTTTCGCACAACTTTCCAGAGATTTGCATACTTATCTGAATTTCAATTTCATCGCTTAGAACTTAGAATCTGTTTCGTGATTCACGTAAATTTGCAAAGTTTTCGAATTATTTCGGGCCACCAAATGTCCTGAATAATAATAAATTGCCTTTACAACTAAATTGGACATTGTTTCGAAAAGGCAAAATGTTTAAAGATTTAGTTTAAAATGTTTTAAAAGATTTGAGCACATCTTTGTGTTGTAAATTTTTTAAACGTTTTAAAAATATTTCCTCGAAATAATACAAAAAACTGTTTATTACTTAGAAAACAATTTACTTCTTGACAAAATGATATATACATTAGGCGTTATTGATAGTAAAGGCAAACGCAACAAGTTAGTTTCGAGAAAATCAATTTTAAAAAAATTGCTAGGTAGCGCACTCAGCAAATGCCGATAAAATCAAGAAATATTAAATAAAATTCTTACTTCTAGAAACACTACTTTTTCCAAGTGGTTTATATTTTGATTTTTGTTCATATTATCATTAAAACCGGAATGAATTAAAATTGCAATTAACAAATGAAGGGCGTTATTCTAAAACTTACCAAGTCCAAATTTGTGATTTTTCAGTACGATCGAATTTCTGCTGCTATTGATTCGCATTTGGTAGAGAAAAGATTTTTTGCAGATTTATTAATCATAACCTTCTAATTAACCACTTTTAATCAAATTTAGGTTTTATTTGTTTTTATCTTTACAATAAAATAAAAAAGATTATATAACATTCCAAAGTTAAACTAAGTCCATGGACTTAAGGTACATTTGAAAAATTATTAGAGATTTAGTTAACTAAAACAACAAAAAAAACGAATACACTATGAATTACATTAAAGAAATACTTCCTCATTGTCCACGACTTCTTCCGCAACGTCTTCATTGACATTGCCAACATTCTGCAGTGCACGTTCGTAGAACATCTTTTCCTCATCGGTTAACTTGACAAATTTTAAAAGATGTCTGACATTTGCCTTTTTGGTAGCACTAATTTTGTTAACAGCTGGTAACAATGTGGCTGTTTCTAAGTACGTGAAATATTAACACTGTTACTTTTCAATACACTGTGTGAACATGCATTGCCGGTGTAAGTGTTTTGCACAGAAACTGTTTTCTTTCCTTTGTAATAAGTAAAGATTCGTTGCTCAGTTAACTTAAACGCAAACTTTTTTTAACATTTTGCAGGCCAAAGCTTTGTAGTCTTTAATAACCCATTGTTGACCATTTTGCAGCACTTTGCAATTTTTATCAAAAATATTGTAATAACCTTGAGGACTCGAAATTTGTTCTTGTTTCCTTATTATTTTTTCAGATCGTCCAAAGACGCGATCAGCCGGCATAAAACTATGGCCTCTTATTGGAAATATGTGCTGAATTTCCTTAAATATGCTATTTTGTACATAACATAATAACGTAAATATAACTGCAGAATTTTTATTTTGACAAGAATCAGAATATAGTTTTAAGATTTGAGGTCTTTCATCTGGGTTTAAAGAAAGGTACTTTGCTTCTAATGAATGAAGAAAATGCATTAGTGCGGTTTCGTTTTCAGTCCAAGTGTAAGCTAAAACAATTTTCCTTGTTCTGATTTGTTTCTAGTATTACAAAAGTAAGATTATATAACCACAACTGCCGCATATAATAAACATCAGAAATGCTTAGTTTGGTTAAGGTTAGTTTTTGTGCATATCAACAAACTTTAACACTTCGCTGGTCTCTTTTTTCTAGGAGTTGATAAAACTTTTTCGCTCGTAGCTTATGCAATTTCAGTTCGGTTGAGATTTTGTTACTAACATCAATGCTTGTCGCAGCTGTTAGTTCTATCTTTTTTAATTCACAAAAAGAACATACGTCTGTCCAAGTGGATGACCAAAACCCAAGTTAAATTTTTTGGCAAATATTTTATAATACTTGGAGTACGAAGTTATTGGAGCTTTCATTGTGTTTCTAATGCTACACCACAAATTATATAACTTTTTCACTGACAATTCAGGTGGTAAATAACATCGAACACTTTTGTTTCGACCATAATGACTACTTCTACATTTTAAACTTTTTATATGATCTATTATTGACAAAGTTGTTTCATTGTCTTTAAGTGTGACTCTAGAACCCCCTCTTCTTTCTGGTCTTGAAGAACCTACACTGAAAAAATAAGCAGCAATGGATTTTATTCTGGAATGCGACATCTGAGTAACTGACTGAAAAGTAGTAACGCATACACGTAGGAGATTACCATCGATTTTTCGTATAAAATAATCATTGCGCTGTCGTTTAAGATGTCGTTGTGGAGTCTCTGGTTGTATAAATTTTGTAAAAAGTTGTTTTGCAACGCAGTCGATTGCCATTTGCTGTTGGTATCGTCCAGTACGATTCTACCTTTTCTAACTCTTTTCATACTGCTTGCCTAATGTCATTCACGGACATAATATATATTCATTTAGTCTTCAATGATTACCAACTTGGATAGATAAGTATTTGTAGGTCATTATTGGGTTCATGGTATATTGAAAATACCATGGACCCAACGAGTTACAATACTAAGCACACAAACAAGAAAGCTGTGAATATTAGGCTACATTACAGATGTGCGAAATAGAATATAAGGCTCATAGTAGAAGGTAAAATCAAGAGTAAAAGATCCATAGGAAGACGAAGAATTTCCTGGCCTGAGAAACCTAAGAGAGTGGTATAATTGCAACTCAGTAGATCTTTTTATAGCAGCCGCCAATAAGGTACGGATAGCTGTGATGATAGCCAACCTCCATATAGAAGAAGGAACTACAAGAAGAAGAAGGTCATTATTACCGATTTTCCAAAATGATTTGAAGGTATGGAAAACATCTACAGATTTAAGGTACAATTTTACGTGCAGGAAAAACGTTTACCTACTTTGGTTTTTATTGGAATTATGGAAATAAAAGTTTGTTTACTAAAATGCTACGTATTTTCCGTTCTTTTATATGGCGTAGAGTCATGGACCTTAACTGAAGCATCACTGAAGAGACTCGAAGCATTTGAGATGTGGCGCTATAGACGCATGTTCAGGATTTGCTGGATAGACAGAATTACCAACGAAGAAGTACTACATAGAATGTAAAGCGCGACTATCGAACCTAAAAGTCGCCATACTGCCAATATGCGCAATGAACAACGATATGACCTACTTCGGACCATACTTTCAAGGTAAAGTGCATGGGAAAAGAGGTCCAGGACGGAGAAGAATATCCTGGCTGCATAACCTGCTAAAATGGTTTAACTTAACCACTACCGGACTTTTCAGGGCAGCAGTCAACAAAGTCAGAATAGCCATGTTAGTGCCCAACATCCGTAACGGATAGGCACCATAAGAAGAAGGTTTTTATTGAAATATCACAGGCATGTCAATTTCGTTTCTTCTTTGATGTATTTTTCTGTCACTCATTCACCTTCACAAGTCTCTTTCTTGGATAACTCAACATAACA